CCAATCTGTTGGGTCGGCTGCGTCCGGATCGTGATTGGTTCCGACGAAATTGACAGTATCGATTGCTTCGATGCTTGGTCGGTCTACGCTTTCCACCGGGATAATACGTCGAAGGTCGGGGTCCGACGTGGATGCTAATGCAGCGAGAGCGTCAGCCGGCGCGTTATCTCCTCGCGGGATTTTGGTTAGTTCGAAATGTGTAAACTGTGAGGATAACTTCTTGACGACCTTGAGGTATGCTTCCATAGTGTCGTTTTTGGCTTCGTATTCGCCGCTAAATTGATTTACGACGAGCTGTGAGTCCACGTATGCTTGGACTCGTTTGATCTTCATTCCTAGGGCGAGGCGTAGACCGGCAATGAGTGCTTCGTATTCGGAGACATTATTTGTTACCGTAAAGCGCAGACGAAACGATTGCTCGATTATTTCCCCGGTTGGTGAGACCAGTCGTATGCCGACGCCAGAGCCATGCGATGACGAGGACCCGTCGGCGTACAGCATCCAGACGCCGTTCTGAGGGTCGCCAGGCTCGGGGTCGCCGCTTAGGTTTTTTGGAATGAGCGGTAGTTCAATAAGGAAGTCGGCTAACACTTGCGATTTCATTGCTGGTCGGGTCCTGAAGTCCATATCGTATTCGCTGAGCTCGATTGCCCATTTAGCCATTCTCCCGGACTGGCTCGGACTGTGTAGGGCGGTTCGTAGTGGTTGGTCGGTGAGAACGGCGATTGTGTGGGACTGAAAATAGGGACGTAATTTCCTGGCAGATGTTACGACCGCTAGCGCAGCTTTTTCCATTGTGGGATAACGTGTCTCGGCTTCGATAAGGGACTTGCTGACGTAAAAGATCGGCTTCTGGTCGCCTCGGTCATTTTTAACAAGCACACCGCTCACGGCCGAGCTTGATACCGCGATGTACAGAAATAACGTTTCACCGTTTTCTGGCTTAGCGAGAACCGGGGGCGTCGTGAGGTACTGTTTGAGTTCGTTGAAAGCATTTTCGCTCGCTTCATCCCATGCAAACTTGTCCTTCCTTTTTAAGAGGTTATAGAAGGGTAAGCACTTGTCCGTCGATCTGGCGATGAAGCGGTTGAGTGCGGCGATCCGTCCTGTTAGTCGCTGCACCTCGCGTGCATTCTTTGGAGAAGGCAGATCGAGGATTGCGCGAATTTGCTTTGGGTTAGCCTCGATCCCCCTCTGTGTGACCATGTACCCCAGGAACTCGCCGGATGTTACGCCGAACGTGCATTTTGCGGGGTTTAATTTCATATTGTATTCGTTCAGTACGTCGAAGCATTGGCTTAGGTGTCGGACATGGTCGGCTGCTACTAGAGATTTTACCAGCATGTCGTTGATGTAAACTTCGATGGTTCGTCCGAGATGATCAGCGAACATCTTATTTACCAAACGTTGGTACGTCGCACCGGCGTTCTTGAGGCCGAATGGCATCACCTTGTAGCAATAGGTTCCTCGGTCTGTGATGAACGAGGTCTTTTCCCTATCATCTCTGTGCATGAGGATTTGATTGTACCCCGAGAATGCATCCATGAAGGACAGAAGTTCGTTCCCGGCGGTCGCTTCAACTATCCTGTCGATATGGGGGAGTGGGTAGCTGTCTTTTGGGCACGCCTTATTGAGGTCGGTAAAGTCTACACAAACACGCCATTTGCCGTTCTTCTTCTTCACAACGACCGGGTTCGCTAGCCATTCCGGATATTTTACCTCGGTTATCGAGCCAGCCTTTAAGAGTTTTTCGACTTCGTCATTTACGGCCTTGGCTCGCTCCGTTCCCAATTTTCGCCTTTTCTGCTTTACCGGTTTATAGGTTGAGTCGACGTTAAGCTCGTGCGTAACGATCATAGGATCGATGCCTATCATGTCGTCTACGCTCCAGGCGAACGTTTTAGAATTCTTTTTTAGGAACGCGATGAGTGGTTCTTTAACCGATGGTACTATCTCGGCCCCGATTGCGACGCATCTTGTCTTATCCGTCTCGTCAATATTCACTTGTTCTGTTCTGCTCAGCTGAGGCTCTTCGAGGGACTTTTTCAGGGTCGGGACGGTCGATGACGCTGGCGTCGTTAATTGCTATAACTTCTTAGTGACGCGGTTCTTGTGTTCGATGAGAAAACATGTTCTTGCGATCTGTTGATTTCCTCTCAAGGTGAATACTCTGTTATGCGTTGGGAACTTGATGCACTGGTGGTATGTGGACGGGATCGCCTGCATTTGATGCATCCAGGGCGTCCCCAAAATAACGTTGTAAACTGCGGGCTTGTCAACTACGACGAACTTGACCCACGAGATCGTTCCTCCGACGAATATGGGCAACTTGATCGTTCTGATTGTCATTACGAAGTCACCATCGAATCCGGCCAACGGGCACGATACGGGTTTTATTAGCCGATCGCTGACATTCATTATAGCCAAAACGTCCTTGAAGATGAGGTCGACTGAGCTTCCAGTATCGATGAGCACCCTAGTTACTCGGCTATCGCCGATAATGAGTTCGACGACGAGAGGATCGTTATGCGGTGTGTCGACGCCTTCCAGGTCGGATTGGGTAAATGATATGGGTTCGTCGATGGGCGTAATTGATGGCGCGCTCGTGGACGGCCATACTTCCTTCATTTCAGCTTTTTTGCGATGTTGTTTAATTGATCGAACCGAATCGTTGCAGTTTTGCAGTCCGCCCATTATCATTCGGACCTGTCTGACGACCACCGGAGCTTCGGCTGGCGCCTCTCCATTCCGAGGTCTTTTGGCGGAATCATTCGCATCTTCGACTTCCTCGGCTTTCGCATGGTCTTGTAGGTATTGACGAGCCGTGCTTTCGTTACGCTTTTGATTTCTACCTCCTTGGGCGCGATCGCACTCGATCGCAATGCTTCCGCTCTTATATCTTGCCATCAGCAAGCTTTGTAGATACCGGCAGTCTTCAGTGGCGTGCGCTCTACTCTTATGGTATTCACAGAATATTGATGTCGATGCCGGGGAATCGGGGTCCCTTACGTACTTGTTCCACGGCCTTGGTGATGGTGTCTCGCTGTTAACGACGAAGGTCGTAGGTCGTCGTGCCTGGCCGATGCTACCTTTGGAATGTTGCTTTGGCTCGGCGTTGTTTGCCGTGTTAGGTATGGCCGAAGCAGTCTCCTTGGTTACAGATGTTTTGGGCGGATTATGCTTTTTGGCTAGAACGAGCCGCTCTTCTTCGAGCTCGATATACCGCGAGGCTCTATGAAGTGCGTCCTCGAGAGTGTTCGGAGCATGAAGAGTGATATCGTCTCTGTACTTTGAATCGTACCAGACGGCGTTGCGCAAGGCTACTATCGCGGCTTCGTCAGGGATGGTGATTTTGGTTACTACCACCTTGAAGCGATCGATAAACGATCGGAGTGATTCCTTGGGGCCTTGCGATAGGGACCATAGGTCGGCGTTGGACGTTTGGTTCTCGATGAGAGGTGAGTAGTGCTTTAGGAAAGACGACGACAATTGGTTGAAGCTGCTGATTGTATTTGGCTTTAGGCGGGAGAACCAGTTGAGAGCCGGGCCCGTGAGATGTTCGATGAAGATCTGGCACCGCCCTGCTTCGAAGTTTTCTGGAGTCAGCTCGGCGCGGTTAATCGCGACGCTGAAAGATTGCAGGAATTCCTTAGGGTCGCCTTTTCCGTTGTACCTTTCTAATTTGATTTTCTTGGATCCGCGGACGGAGATGCTTGTGATTCTTTGGGTGAAAGCGGTTTGCTGAGTTTCCTCGAGCACACGGTCGAGTTCTGGAGCCGAGCTAGTGGCACGGTGAATTTTCGAACTCATTTCCAGGACAGCGCGTCTTAGTTCGGCGATCTCCGTATCTCGCGGATTGGTGCTGCCCATGGTTTGGACGGGCTGAGCTGCCTGGGGACGTCCGGGGAGTTCTGGAGTGTAGACTGCGTTTGCACTCCGACTCGTTTGCAGACGGTTGATCTCGTCCATGGAGAACGCTTGAGCCGCGGCCAGAGATGCGAACCGAGCATCTGTTCGTGCGTCCTGTCGACCTAGATGGTCGAGGATGTTCTGGAGCAGTCGGTTTGGCTCGGCGGGAGTTGTTGCCGCAGCGTGCCGTTCTGCACGGTTTTCTTCGAGGTTCGTTGGACGTCGTCTGCTGGGAGAGGTCGGTTCGCCTTCCTCCTGGTGTGCCGGGGGCGTTTCGTTCCTTGCTGCTTCCGCTGGCCCCTCGGGCGTTTGAGGTAGCGATGCGGGAATAGCTACCGAGGTATGGGTGGCCTTCCTTGTCGGAAGTGCTCCTAACGGGATCGGCGTCACCGTCTCTCCTCCCGTGGAGGATGCGTTGTCGTCTCGGAGGCCCGTACTGGTTCCCTGGTTTCCATCGGTTGCCATCGTGTTGTCGCGGGCTCGTTTTGTTGACTGGAGAAATCTCTGAGCTATCCCCCTACCTGGCGCGCCAACTGTTGATGCACGAATCACACAAGTACGAAATAGGGTTTCTCTGGGGAAGTAAAAAGAATCTCCCAAAACAATTCGAGCCGAGAGTTCAAATGGCGTTAGGCGAACCGAGATTGATGACTTCGGATTAAGGATTCCAGGTCGTCGATGAGGCCGAACTGAATGAAGATTGAGGTCGCTTTTCCGAGCTGAATGAAGATTGAGGTCGCTTTCCTTTTCTAGATTGAGATCGGTCTTCGTGTCCTAGCCGAGTTCTTTGTATCCTTGCCGAGCTCTTCGCGTCCTTGCCGTGTCAGCGTCTTTTTCGATGGATGTGACAGGACTAGTCGTCCTGCTTTTATAACCCTGCGGAATAGGGCGTACCCTGACAGCTTTTACCGGTTTTACCCCTTGGGTCCGGTGACGTGGCAGGCCCGTAAGGCGGCGAGGTCGTCTGGGCTTTGATGCTTTTGGGCTTTAAGGCCTGCTCCGTTGATGGGCTTTAAGGCCTGCCCGTTGATGGGCTTTCTTTCTTGGATTGGGCCTTTATACTTCTAAAGCCCAATCTCTCCCTCAACAAGTTGCTGCTTTGCAACTTTCTGGACTTCGTCATGCTGTTCTTATAGGAGATGAGCTTCAGTTGCCTGCAATGGTTCATAACGAGGTAGTCTCTTATTATAAACAAAAGTGTCTTTCTATTTTCTAGTTATATATACTATAGTTTTCTAATCACGGAATAATGTGGCAGATATGTGAAAAGGCAAAATTCGGAAGCAGTTTGTTCGAGAGGTTGGTTCTGCTTGGTCACAACAAGCATTTTCTTAATGTTCAATACCGAATGCATCCTTCGATTAGTCGTTTCCCTAATAAAGAGTTCTATGGTGGGAAAATCAAAGATGCTGCGAATGTTCAAGAAAGCATTTATCAAAAGAGGTTTCTTCAAGGGAACATGTTTGGTTCTTTCTCTTTTATCAATGTTGGACTTGGAGAAGAAGAGTTTGGTGATGGACATAGTCCTAAAAACATGGTTGAAGTTGCTGTGATTTCTGAAATCATATCCAGTCTTTTCAAAGGTATTATTGATCTTTATATATTAATCTGTTTTTCATTATTCTTTTTTAAATTAATTTTGCTTATTTTTCAAAACAGTTTCAAGTGAAAGAAGAATAAAGATGAGCGTTGGAGTGGTTTCTCCATACAAAGGACAAGTCAGAGCAATCCAAGAGAGAACCAAAAATAAGTACAGCTCTTTATCAGGTGAGCTTTTCACTTTGAATGTTCGGTCGGTAGATGGGTTTCAAGGTGGGGAAGAAGATGTTATCATCATCTCTACCGTTAGAAGTAACGGTAATGGAAAAGTGGGATTTCTCAACAACCGTCAAAGAGCCAATGTGGCACTTACTCGAGCAAGGCATTGTTTATGGGTGGTTGGTAATGAGACAACTTTGGCTCTAAGTGGTTCGATTTGGGCTAAACTGATAAGTGAGTCTAGGACACGTGGATGTTTCTATGATGCTACTGATGAGAAGAATCTAAGAGATTCCATGAGTGATGCTTTGCTTGAGGATGTGTCTTCGAGTTTTGGATCTCTTTCGATTAGGAATGGCTATGGGAAAAGAAACGCTTGGTAGTGTTTTGTTTGATCTTGTTTTATGTTTATGTGTTTTCCTGTTAAACTATGTATGGTATTTTTATGGTATTTATGGTTTTCAATTTAATTATGAAAATCGATTCACTTTTATATTGAAATAAAAACAAATTACTACTTGTCTGATAATAATTCATGAAATAGAAATTTTCTAAACTTTTTCTTTATTAAATTGTTAAAAATTAGCTTTGAGTGTTAATTTAAAATGGAGTCGTTTTGACTCCTCAAAATGGAGTAGTTTTGAATCATTTGTACCCAGAAAAATACATAATGATTTGACATGAAACTAACCACTCGATTTTATCAACTTTACTTTTTAAAATAGTTTATGTAATATGCATGTCGATGGACTATAAATTAGGTTTAGTTTCGAAACCTTGATGCAATAGGAAATAGAAAACACTCTCTTATCTTTTAGTTTTTGGTTATGACGACTAGAAGCGGACAACTTGTGCAACTACCATGAATGTTTTGTTCCTAAAATCCCGATCTTTCTTCTTCCCCGTGCCATTTGGAAAATCAACGTTAGAGTTTAATCAATCTCTCTCGAAAACATGAAAGAATAAAAGTAAGGATTAAAAATGCCTATAACTATAATAACTATGTATGTAGACTTTATGCAATTCGGTTCATTGGTCACTACATATTCAAATTTTAAATAAATAAAAAAATCGAATTATGTTAACAAGATTTTCTTGGGTACAATAATCTATGTTGTTGGTGCGATCAGATAGATTATTCGCTCTACGTTGGTACGTCAAGTTATGTCATTAAGTACTCCAATTTCTCTATATATAGAGAGTTGTAAACCAAACCATAAGCCAATTTCACAAGTCGAAACACAAACACCCTAAAATTAGGGAAAAAAAGATAGAGGACGAAATGTTTTATTTCGTACTTCTCCCTCTCATATTGCTTCTTTTGGCTTACAAATTCCTCTCCTCTAAAACACACCATTTCAATCTCCCTCGGCAACCACTGTCACGTCCAGTCGTTAACCACTGTCCTCCAAAGAGTACGGACCAATCTTCTCCCTCCGTTTTGGCTCGTGTAGTAGTATATCTTCTTCTTCCCTCGCCCAAGAATATTCTTCACCGGCCAAAAACGACTTTGTTCTCTCAACCGGACCCTCCAACTCACCGCCAACCACATCGCCTATGATAGAGAGCGGAAACTTAATTAACGAACAAGAAGCTCACGATCTCTAAGGGATCTTGGTTTGCGACCTGATCTTGTTAACAACGACGGATTGACGTTGAAAACAATAGGATTTGAGAGTTAACACATAAGCTTTTAGGGTTGAGAATCTTTCTCTCAAGAGTCAGGACTATACACAAGCAAACTCTTTAAAATATATATCTCTATTCAATAATCAAAACTCATCCATTCTACAACGCAAGGATCCTTTATATAAGAATCGAGAAACAAAAAAACTAATCCTAGTCTCTACAAAATTGATACTTATCCATTTAATAAACAAAGCATAATTAACATAAACTAAACACCATAAATTGTCTAACACTCAGAAGCCCAATATGAGTGTTCACTAAAAGTCTTATATTAACCAAGTATGCATTGATCAGCCTACAACCACACAACCATTGGAACCGCTCCTTGCGGTGATCAGTGTCGTAACCTCCACCGCATTTTGCTCCATAGAAATCCTCTCTTCTCACCGCTTCTACAACTTCCTCCACATCCGTTAAGATCTTGCTAATGCTCACACACTCACTTCGATGACACAAGCCGTTTCACTCATATCGAACTCGAACCGCTCTTACCCGATCTAACGTTCAACAACATAGTAAGAAAGGTAGGGAGAAGATGTTAACAACAGGAAGAAACATAACTGTTCAAGATGCTCGTGTATGATATCGCCGTGTATAGCGGCGCGAATCATTCCGGTGATTACTTGCCGGTGCTAAAACTGTTTGGAAAGAAATACGTGAAGGAGGTTAAAGCTATAGGCAAAGCCACAGATGAGATTTTGCAACGTTTACACGATGAGTCTATTAAGGAGAAGCTCAAGTCAACAGAGAACAAGCCAAATCCTCTGTTCCAAGCAGAGTCTTCCCAAGCCAAATCCTCTGTTCCAAGCAGAGTCTTCCCAAGCCAAACCGATGGATCGTGATGTCAAGCCCAACAAGATTCAAATCACATCTGAGCCCACGAAGCCCAGTCAGCAACAGTCATCTTCTCACACAAACGACAAGAGAAAGGAAGCTGCCGATAACAATGCCGTTGCAAAAGGATAGCGAGTGAGCTGTGCATTTGTACCAGAGATAAAGACAAACAACAAGTTTGACGCTCTCAGCTCTCTATCGCATGATGACATCTGTCAAGAGCATTAGGGTTTTACATTGTGTATAAATAAGAGGATAAACCTCATGTAATAGTTAAGAGAGAACAAAGGAAATAAAATCAAAACCTTTCTCCTTCAACCCTTGTTTCTTTCAGAGTCTAGAAGCTAAGAGATAGAGAAAGTAACGCAATGATTAATAATTTTCTCACGTTACAAAAACAAGAACCTGATGGTAAATTCTCCATATTATTATTCTACTAGAAGGTGTCCAGTGGATTTGAAATTAATAAAATAATATATGTAAATACTTTGTGACTAAATATACATTAAAAATGTTTTGCTACTTTTAAAAAGTTTAATCATTAATATATTTAATATTAAATCAATTTTTTTGTTTAGATTGAATAGTTGTTTTCAAGGCTAATTTTTTATATTAATTATTTTTTGAAAAATACTTAAATTTCTATTATAATTAATTTTCAAATGCAACATATGATCATACATTTTTGTTAAAAAATAATGATTAAAAAAAATAGACAACACAAATGAAAGTAGTGATATGGTATAGAAAGATGATTGGTGAATATGTATTTAAATTATCTGATATTTGTTTTTTTTGGTGAAGTTTAAATTATCTGATATGATGATTGGTAAAAACATTTCATTCGATATTATATGCATAAGAAACAAAAATCGTATTTTTTTAATTGAGGATTTATTATGAGTTTCATATTAAAAATTAATTCAATTATATATATAGAGTTCAGATAAAATAATATATTTTAGTTAAGAAGATGCAAAACAGGCCAATAGTGAGATAGTGATATATATATATATATATATATATATATATATATATATATATATATATATATTCTTTGAAATGATAAAATTATTAATCAACAAAAAATAGTTGATTTACAAGCCATGAAAAATAAATAACTCAGATTGTAAAATGTAAACTATTGAATACCATAGACGACCCAGAACCACCGTTGGAGAAGGTTTGGGATCATGGGCTGATGTGTAAATATATATTTACTTTAATTTAGTTAACTATTTCCTCAAATTAAACCTTTCAATATTTAATGATTTAATTTTCATTAACTTCACTTTGCTTATCCTCCATCACTCAAATTGTATTTTTTTTTATGTTAAATATGTTGGTTAATTAGAGCTAAAATAATTTAATCTTCCATACAATAATCTAAAATTTTTACTTGATACTAAATAAAAAAGAAATATATAATTCTGTCACTCTAAAAAGAAAAAAATAATCAAAACACTCATAATGAAATTCTAACCTACACTTAATATCATTTCAACCATAATGATAGTTTAAAATGCTCCACCACTCATTTTTACTCTTAACATAGATAAATTCACTAAAAATCATATGTAAATACTTAATTCTTACAATAAGTAAATAATAAAATTTAAACAATTAATAAATTATAAAAGCTTCATCATCCTACTACTCCCTCTATTTTAAATTAGTTGTCGTATTAGAAGTTAAATTTATATTAAATTAGTTGTCGCTTTGTGTTTTCAATACATATTTATGACAGATTTTCCAATTTTATCTTTGCTGTTCTAGCTGATTAATTGATGATATCAAATAAAAAAAAAACACATTAACTAAGGGTAAAACAGAATTTAAATGTTTTCTTAAATTGTGTGAAAAAATTTTAAATGACAACTAATTTTAAAACGGATGGAGTATTAAATTCTTAATTTGAATATTAATTAAATTTAATTCACAGCAAATGTTAATACTTTTAATACAACTATTCATTTTGGAGTTATGTGTTAATTAATTCAATTCTAAATATGTAACTAGAATAAAATAAAATATTTTAATATAAGAAGATGCCAAGTGGCCCAATAGCCAATTTATAAAAAATTTTTTACTGTAACTTAGTTAACTCTTTTCCCAAAAAAATTTTCAACCGAATGTTATAAAGTTTGATATTGAAGCTATATAATACACTTTTTAAGTGATTCAATTTTCATTGATTTAAAAGTTTTGCTTATCCTCCATCACTCAAATTGTTAATAATTTTTTTTTTAAATATCTAAATAATATTATCATCATTTAGTTTTCCATATAATAACCTAAACTTTTTACTTGACATCTCTTACTAATAAAAGAAGATCATTGAGGCTTCTAAAGCAATCCACATCAGCAATCTAAAGAGTTCCTAAAATCATGCCACATCAGCCATTTACAATTTTTTTTATGGATATATTTTTCACAATCACCATCGATATCGTTTGATACTCTTCCATAAACGCTTTGTATCCTCTCTCAGATATTTCTAAATCCAAACGGCATCTTAAATTGTGAATTGAAGCGTCATGTGATTCCTCTTAAAAATCCAGAATGACTAAAGATTCAAGTATGTGACTGCCTTATCTCCATCAGTGCTTCATCTTCTAAGTTCAGGTAATCTCCCTTTAATAAGGTTTAGGTTACGTTTGCAATCTTTTTTTGAATCCCAAATTATTTGGTTGAAATTTGATCAAGCTGATGCCAATGGTTTTACATTTCCGTTTTACCTTAAAAATCAGGGCTTTTGATGGAATCAATTACATCAAAATTGAAAATTTAACAAAATGCAGGACAGTTCAATGCTAGACCTTTTGGCTTTGATTCATTATCAAAGGAGTGAAAGTGGGATTTATTGTTTGTTAGAACTTATATTTTGTTTTGGTTTTGGTTTTATGTGTGTTCGTCAAGTAACTTAATTCAAGGTTTTTCTTACTCCAATTTATCTAAATTCAGGGCCTTTGATGGAATAAACTACATCAAAATCGAAGATTTGTTAAAATGCAAGACGGTTCATTGTTCAATGCAAGACCTTTTTGCTTTCATTCGTAAAGAAGGAGTGAAAGTGTTTGGCTTTATTTAATTTTGATTTTGGTTTATGTGTGTTCTTCCTCAGGTATGGCTGATGCTATTTATATCAAAGGCGTCGCTGTCACTAAGTATAAGAGGTGCGGTTTATGAAGCACGATTATTACATTTGCTTTGGTCAGTATAAAATTCATAGAACAAGATTGATTTGTATTACATTTTTTATATAGGTCTGCTGTAAAGGTCTCAGAGGAGTGGCCATCTAAGTATTCAAAGTTCTTAGTCCAGGTTGAGAAAATTTTAAGTTTTTAACTGATCGCGAACCCGAAAATGTGCTTCAATGAGTTATGATTTTGTATACAGCTTGATGATGGTCTGGAGCTTTCCATTACTGATAAGAGGAGATTGGCCAAAGTTCGACTTCTAGCTAATGTATAAATGCATAACTCTTAAGTTGCTTTTCTTTGTTAAGCTTCTCTGTTAGTGAATTGTTTATTTATGTTTGCTATCACAGCCAACATCTGTGAGCCCAATATCAGAGCTTCATCCGAATGCATTGTTGGAGCCTATGACAGTTGAGGAATTTGCAGCAAGCTTAGCTAAAAAGAAAATAACCATAAAACCTCTCCTACTTGATCAGGTTTAGAATTTAAATTCATTTTCTCTCACTTTTATGCATCTTTCAACTCTTTCTTGTCCTTACCACTTACCACAATTACTCGAACTTTGCTATATGACATTTTAAATACTACACTAACTGGTTCTTTAATCAGTATTATAGTATAGCTCCGCAATTAAGAATCAAATGCTTATGGTACAACACATTGCAGCTTAATTATCAGCTTACACTTGGCTTAAGCTAATAACGAGAGTGTTGAAGTAGAAACAGAACAATAAGAATTGACATGGGTAATTCTCCTATAGTTTCATATCTTGTGTTTTAAAGTTGATTCAAATATGCATACATGTATAGATACACACATGTTTCTTATGTTATCAACACATTTGCTGCAACAATGATTTAACTATGACTTAAGTACTACCTTCGTTGCTATATGGGTCGTCTAGCTATCATGTTCCCTAATTTTTCAACACACTACATATTTTTTAGTTGCAACTCTGTAAAGGTTCTTGGCTGATATCTTTTTAATTTTCTCACATTTTTCCAGCCAGGCTATGAACTTGAAGACAAAAGGGAACATAACAAAAAAAAAAAATTGAATGCATATGATATTGATATTCTTCCGTGAAATCCAGCTTCTGTCTTAAAAGTTATTGACTTTCTAAATTAAAGGTCTCACACTCTCTTCTCTAAACTCACTCATGGTCAATGATTTTTTGGAATCGCAGAATTTTATCACCTCCGTAAAGGAATTTGTCTACGGATATTTACAACGCAAATGATGATGGACATTGACCTTCACCAAATTGTACATTGAAGAGCAGCCAAATCTGTGAGGGTGAAAATTGGAGGCAGCGCTAGGTTCATAAACTCAATCGATATAATAGAATTAGGAACCAAAACGAGGATCAAGGGCTAAAATTAATCAAAATAATAGTACATAACCAAATAAATTGTACAATATAGTTTTTCTTTCCATTAAAATGTTTAATACACCATGATTTTTCTGATGTATATGAAATAAATTAATTTTTTAAAAGAGTAAACTAATTTTAAAAGTGGAAGCCCTCTTGGTCCATTGGTTGATCAAAGGTTAATTAATGCTTCTACACCCAGAGGTCTGAGGTTCGATGCCCAGATACTGCGATTTATTAATATATTTGCAGATTATTGGAGGCAAGTGTGCATGAGATCTCCAGCGATGTACAATTTTAGCCGTTCGCCAGGATTCTAAGCAGAGAGTGAAGTGTCCATCAAGAGCATGAAGAAGGAGGTGAAGGAGGTGAGCATGAAGGAGGTGAAAGAGGTGACGTCTGTCGTGGATCTAATAAGGGTCGGAAGGAATTGTCAGTTGTAGAATCGTCTATGTAACATTTCTCATAATTTGCAATAAATAATAAATCTAGAGGAAAAAAAACTAATTTTAAAAGTAACAACTGCCAAATATATATGCCGGGCGTAGCCCGGATTTCCCCTAGTTATATAAGAAAAGGCTAATACTACATGATATTAGTAATGAAAGTAAATATAAATGTGTTATTGTAAAATGAGAAAATAACCTAATTACTTAAAATAATATTCAAATAGCACTATGTAATGTGATGTTTTCCATAACACAAATAATTCTATTGAAATCTCTTAATCCCCTACAAAAAAATAGTTATATTGAATATATTACTAACATACACAATTAATATCATTTCAACCTTAATTTGTCATTAGAAATACTCCACCACCTATTTATTGAAATGCTATAACATAGATAAATTCACTAAATATATATATATATATATATATATATATATATACAAATTTTGAATTTTCTATTAAGTAAATAATCAAACACAATAAATGTTAATAATTTGAAATGCTTGACCAACCTCACTATTGGATCTTTTTCGACATGATTTCTTCCGCCACTCCATTCTTGAAACATATGATTTAAAATAAAAATGATGTATAATTAAACATAGAAAATAACATAGAAATCTACCATGACACATACATGATAATAACTTAATGAGATACTAAATATAAAAGATATCCTCCATAACTCAAATTGTATATTTTTAAGAAAAATAATATTAATTATATCCATTATAATAGTTAATTATTAGTGTTTGATATGATACTGTAAAAACTTCGAACTCGAAGTAAAACTCAGAAGCACTTTGTATTGTGATGTTGTCCCCCATTAAAAAACTTTTAAAAAACTTGTTACATAATTGAAACTGTGAAATTAAAATAATATATAATATTTTTGATTTTAGAACTCTATTAGCTGTATTAAACAAATTGTTATAGAATTCACAAAATTATATTGTATTTATTAATTAAAATATGATGAATAGTAGAATGTGCGTCTTCCTATTTATAGGAACTCTGTGTTTTTTGTTATGTAATAATGTTATAACTTTTATTGGTTTTAATGGTTGTGTAATTAATATTTGTAATGGTTGGACTCACTAAAACCTACCTACAGCTAAAATGTATTAAAGCATAGTGACAATAATTTAATTAAAAAAGAGCCAACTTTAAGACTTCAAATCAAGATAGATGACGACTTCTTGTCAATCTTTGTGACAATTTTGAGACTATAAGCCTATCATAATGAGTAAAAGATGAATCATTATAGTGGGAGTAAAATATGATGGTCTTGAAAATATTTTTAGTTAGTATTTATGAAGGATAGTTGTGATTTTTTTGTCATCACTTGTGACGATTTAAGAGTATAGTTTTTTCATAATAAGTTACGACATTAAGACGTTGTTTAGTAATAAAATGATTGATTTGAGACAAATCTTTAATCGGTCATTATTATGGGGAAGTGACATTTTTATTATTCATTAACATTGATGATTTAGACTATAGTAAAGAGTAATAAGATTGATACGTGATCAAATTTATTATTGTGATGAAATATTATGTCTCACTAAAATTATTTTCATGTAGTATATAGGTATGTAATTAACGTATGCAATAAAATATTTGTCACAGATGCGGCTGTTAAAAACAACTACAAGAATTTTGAATCTCTTGATTACAAATTTTACTTAAAATTCAAATTCAAATGAATCATTATAGATAAATGTTTGGTTTGTTCATAATGTAATATAATTGGTTAAGAGGACGTTGAATATAATGTTTATTATAATTTTAATTTATTTATCATATTATTTATATTTTAAATTCCATGACAATTTGGGTGTGCAGTATGTGACTAGCGGTTTTTACCGCGTCTATCTTCTATAAGACAAAAGTTTGAACGCGAAAGAAGGTGCCAAAGTTAAAATTAAAGAATATAAAATTTAATAGTTTTGAAAATGTTATTGGCACGACAAGAGCACAGTTTCACTAAGATATAAACACGTCATGATCGTGACATATAATGAATATTTATATTTTACCTTTATCATCACTCAGTTATTCAACATACATTTGGGTATGCAATGAACAAATTTTACTTATTAACTTTAGTTTAATCATGTTTTGGATCACGCATGCGGAACCTAACAACAACCAACAACTCTTTTACCACTCGAATATATATTAATTTTGTTTGATTTCAAATAAAAATTAATGATAATAAAAGTCTGGAGTTGGTTAGATATAATAAACAGAAGCTTCGTAAAATGCATTTTGATATGAAGAATTCCGTTAATACGGTCTTAAGTGCTCTGTGTAAGGGTGGCGAAAAGAGGGAATTTAGAGATTATTATGAGCATGTTAGGGAGGTAGCTAATCGTATGATCCTCCAAGGCCTCCAACGCCACGTACTCGAGGGTTCACCGCTAAGATTCATCCTTCCAGTTTCGAAAGATGTTGATTTTAAGCTTTCTATGGAGTTTTAAAAGAAAAACGATACATCATGTTCTTAGCCATATTCGGCAAGACAAATGAAAAATTTACACACACTGGAAATATCGAGTGGGCTTGGGACAAGATGCCAGATTGAGGAGCATATCCAAAATGGCCACCTAAGAAGAAGAATAAGTGAATTATCGGGTTTGATTGGTTTTAGATAGCGCTCTATGTACTTTGGAAAAATTATGTTTTGTGTCTTCTTCGTTTTACAACCAACTCTGTTTTGAGTTTTAATTTGAATGTTTAGTTGGGCCTAATTAATGAAGGTCATGCTTTCTTTTAAAAATTTTATGTTAATTACATGGAAAATATCTACATGGGTTCTCTATAATTTTTAAATGCTCTTAAGTTAGATTCATGTGATACCTTTAAGATGAACTTATGGAATCAAATGTTTTTTTATTGGCATTGGATTTGAATCGTATGTTGATTCATTGTGTTGAATTAAGTTGGACACGTGAATGTCGTAGGTGCAAAATGAGTACCTAGTCATAGGATATGTATTTCGAGTGAAATTGTTTGAAGATATATTTATTTCTACTTATGATATTTAAGGTTTTCTTATGCATTTGAATTTTCTTAAAATGAATCTGTTTAAAAATCAATTTGTACGGTTTTTTTAGAATTTTAAAATATTTTATTTAAGGTTTTTTTCCTGAATTTAACCTTATTTCACCATAAGTTGTTTAAAAATTATCAAAAAAATTTCCAATATCTAGTCTATATTTAATTTATATTGATATACATAAATATGTAAATGAACAGTATTTAAAAAGACTAAGGCAAGATAATATATTTTTCATTAAAAATAACATAATAAATACTATAATAATAATGTTATGTGAGTGTACTACACCAAAGAGAACATATAAATACATTATAGAAAAAATTCTATATGTTTCAAAAAATAGAAAACAAATAGCATATTTTTGCATATTTTAAACTTATTTCATAATTAATTAAATTATTTTTTTGCTCAAAAATTATAGAATAAATATTATAATTTCTTTTTAGTAAAACGTAATTTGGTCTTTATTTTTAACTTTAAATTATAATAAAATAATATTTTTTGGCGTAAAATAAAATAATACTATTTGGTTGAGCATAAAGTAATTTGGTCTTGATTTTTTAACTTTAAATGATGGAAAAACAAATGTAGAAAATAATTTATTTGGATTTGAGAGAAAAGACACATGTCAAAAAGAAAGATGTCATGTGTTATCCTCTTAGAACTTGGTTTGAAAGGTAACCTTACTTTATTATATAAGATTATCTAATCGAAACACAAAAAAAATTCTTAATGACTATTTTCAAGAACTTATATTCAACAAAATGTTGTTGACTGAGTTTAATGTGTAATTTTAAATAAAATATTTTAGTTATGTTATCGAAAGATAAGTATTAGAAAATCTTTATATAATAAATATTAGTGTTATTGGCTTATCATATTTGACATACTTGTTCATTTGTTATCAATAAAAAAACCACGATATAATGGTACATAATTATGACAATGCAGTTTGAAATGACAAACATAAATATTTTCTTCTTACTTTTTTATATTTTTAAATTTATCCTTTGAACTATTCACTCAAATTAAGAGATCGAATGTAATAGTTAAGATCAAATTCCACAAAGTTCTCAAGTTCACAAAATAGATTATTGGTTTCAAATTAAGCTAAAGAGTAAAGATTGTAATTAAAATAAGATAGCAATTAAATCGGGTGGTAAAATCAATAGGAAAAGAGCTATGTTTAGGGAAATTCTTAGGTAATTCAGAATTGCAGATTAAAGATATTATCAAGATCGTTATTAAGATCCGTTCTCGAACTCGAAATACTATGGTAAAATCAATCAACTCTCGTTGCAAAGATTATCTATGTCTAAATCTAGAATTCCAAATCTCTTTGCTACATTCCTCAATTCAAACAAGCTTTAATTCCATATTAAATTGTTCACAAAATACCTAAACCAAATTTCTTTGTGAATAGTTATTTTGCTTATCTAAGATAGTTTAAGTAATCAATTACACTATCGTGAAAGCTAATCAACCTAAGATAAGATTCTAGGTCATGAATCTAGTTACAGTAATAAACACAATCTAGCTGAAAAAACTCTATTTATTCAATCCTAAATAACCATCAACCTAGCAATTCATCTTCTAC